CTCTCTCCAAGCAAAACTTACCTGAAACCCACCTCTCTTCTTATAAATGTACTTTCATCTATAATGGATGACAGAATATGTGTCACAATGATTATTTCTAAATAAGAAGATTACAAGTAATTGGTAAACTCATTTTTCTACTATGAAAATATGTAAATATTTAACAATACTTTTGATTTGTATGGGCCATATAAAAAACAAATTTAATCTCAGCCTCTCTCCAAGCAAAACTTACCTGAAACCCACCTTGTTTAATGTAACTTTGGGACATTCCTTGTCTACTGTCTGCTTAATTGCCCCTCCTCATAAAGACTCTAACATTTGCTACCTTCTCTTGAAACTTCCAGCATCCTCTTCTCCAATTTTCCTTTTCACTGGTAGTCTTGCTTCATTAATTTTGATTAGTTATGAATGCTGTTTCATTTTCCTAACACAGTTCAACCAGCCTAATAACAGTGGTATCTAGTCTGTATGTTTCCTGTCTTGCTCTTACCCAAGGCCAAACCCTTCACTGAGATCTGCATCCCATAAATTTTTGAACTCAAGAAATATTTCTCTGCAATTATATCCTCTCACTTTAATCATCTGATTCTCTACTAGATCAATTCTATAACTACAAATGTTCCAATATTGAACGTCTTAAGAAAATAAGGGAGGAAAAACCTCAAATTCCCCTTTGATTCTTGATTTTCTATCTACCTATTTCTAAGCTCCATTATTCTAAAAATAACTGTCCCCATTTTGGTCTTTACAATCTTCCCTCAATCCATTTAAGGCTGTTATTTGCACAACATATCAAAATCTGCCCTTGTCATTGTCACCAAGAAATCTCCATATTGCCAAAAACACTGATATCATTTGTCATCTCAACCTCACAGTGGTGCTCAACACACTTGGCTGCTAACTTCCTCTTGTAAAATTCTGCTCTTTGTTTTTAGAACACCACATTCCTCAAGTTTTCTGTTTTCACTGTGTTCTTCCTTATTCCTGTACTGGTTCTCTTCTGTTTGCCCTATATAGGAATATGGGATGTTCCCAGGCCTGCTACTTTCTTTTTACTTTTTCCCTCAATGAGTTCCTCTACATGCCATCAATAAGCCAAGGATTCTCAAAATCCTTGTTCTGATGCTCATTTGGCTTGTATTGCCCTACATACATCATGAAATTAACAAGAACCCTAATTTCTGCTTCGTTCTCTTTTCTATTGTTCTATGCCCCACCCGAAACAAAGCAAGAGAACAGAAAATTCCATGTTCATCTTGCAGTCTTCGTTACAACTCAGAGCAAATTTTCCCTGTTCAGGTAGAAAATTAATATTGATTCTTCCATTCCCGTATGCTCCATATCTCATTTTTTAACTCATTTTTTATCCACTTCTTTCCAACTGTTACCATGCTGCTCCAAGGCCACTGTCATTTCTTACATGGGTATCTAAAAATAGACATCTAGCTGGTAACAGTTTTCTACTCTTGCCTCTTTGTAACCCACTGTCAACACTACTGTGAACCACTATAGTTTTAAATAATATAAATCATTCTATTATTCTAATTAAATCCCTGCAGTGGCTTCCTACCACATAAATTTTTAGCCCTAGCCTACCAAGTTTTACATACTCTGGTTCCTGATCCTGCCTGCTTCTTCAACTTTTCTCACAGTAACCTGCAACATACATTCCCAAAGATTCATGCTTACATGTACCCCAATTCAAGGGTCAGTGTGAGCTGAAAATTGAGTCCTTGAAACTATTTAATTCATGACTTCGGAATAAAATGACAAATTACAGTAACCCAGTTATCATCCAAGATAATGCACTATGAATAAAAAATATATACTCAACCTCTTCTACACAAAGGCTTGATTTAGCAGTGTTGAAATAATTTCAGCATTCAGCTAAGTGAGGCAGTTAATGAGTATTTGGCCCTATTTTTATGCCTCAGTTTTATTTTTGGACATTTACATTTTTTCTCTGAAGCAGCAGAAAGCTTCCACCTTGGATTAAACTGAAGTTATCCAAGTTGCAATCAGCATGCTTACAAAAGGGTTCAAATGTTAGAAGCATCTTGTTCTGGTGCATTTTGGCTAGATTCCAGATGTGAGGGAGAAAGGCAAAGACAGCCAGCCTCTGTAATGAGCAGAAGAAGAAAACCAGATGCTAAAACCAATCTGAAAGAAAAGAAAATTGAGGCCATTTCTACAAGCATAAAATAAGAAGAACCAAACACTTATCCCTACACCCAGCTTAATAGCTACAGACCAAACTGACAGGGCCTGTCAGTACCAATTGTGAGAATGAAGACATACATCACTTGTAGTTGAGTCAGATTTTCAAGTGCACACGTTAGAAACACTCAAGGCTAGTTCTGGCCTCGTAACTTCTGGTCTCAATCTGGCCAAGCCACAGAATAAGTCAGTGCTCTTTTTTGAAAAGAATGTTTCACAATGCTCTCATCCATCGTCATGAACATTCTGAATTCCTTTGAGGAAAAGCAGATCCCACGGTGCTGCATTCTTCTTTGCATTGTTTTTAAATTCATTGCCTCTCCACAGTGTTCATGGCACTGAGCCAGTTTGTGAAAGAAATAGGAACAGAAGGAAGACTCTGTAGCATCCTGATTTCTCCTTATAATCCACTTAGATTTTTAATAGGATTGACTTTGTTTAGACAGCAAAAGAACAACACAACAATATTAGGATCACTTTCTCCTCTCTACTCAAAATACCTCTTTGATGTTTTACAGTGAAATTCTACCACTGAGGGATTCAGATATTGGATAGAAACATTTAATTCTAGGGGGTACTACCATTATCTTAGGCTCTGTTTGATTTAGTGTTTTGTCTTTCTTTTGGAAACCAGGCTAAGAGTATGTGCGGATGGATTTTTGAGGAGGTCCAGAGATACAATTGCAGGTCAATAATAGTGAAAAAAAAATGGAGGAGCTAAACAAGGAAAAAATGGAAAGAAGATACAAGACTGTGGCTGCTTTGCTGGCCACAAACACAGAACATAAAACAGCCACTTGCTCAGTCACAAGCTCTGAGAACCATAGCACCTCAAAACAATCCATCAGAGACCAAAAGGAATGTACGTGTAGCTTTCCCCATGGGTCAGTTTTCCCATGGTCAAAGTAACTCCGACTTTCTTCCTTGCTGTACATCTGACCCGGTGGGACGGCCATTAGTGAAGCCAGATGCCGTACTCCGCTGTATGGTATTTTAACTGTATGGCACTTTTATTTTGAATCTGTAAATAAAGAGCAGGGGAACCACAGTCTCTTGGTGAGTTTCCTTTCAAAGTTACTATAGAGGACATGTTAAAACTTGCTTCCCCAGGGATCCAGCGTCACTGATGACATTCAGAACTGGCAAGGACACTGGGGGTGTCTCTCTCTCTCTCTCTCTCTCTCTCTCTCTCTCTCTCTCCTCCTCCCATCCCCCCCATCGCTCTCTCTCTCTTTCTAGTTAAGGACTGAGGAAACAACTAAGGGCCTACAAAATCTAGGGTGGTTCCTAAACTGGGACCATTCATTTAATTTTTGATATTTTGATAAGTAGCAGACTTAATCACCTGCCTGGGTGTCCTGTGATTACTTCAGTCATTTCAGTCTTCATACACTCACTGCTAAGCTATGGCTACCTGCTCACATATCTACAGCCTCCCTCAGAGAAATGTGCTTAAATGATGGAAGTTCTAGGAGTTACACTCCTTCACTACTGCCTGCTATAGCGGTGGCTTCAAGGCAAGAACTTGTCTGTGGTCCACACCCCTGCTGAATTCAAGCCACATCCTTGTTTAGATTCTTTATCTGCCTTATCCTGCTGCTTACACTTCCTTACAGGTATTTTACCGTTAATGAGATCACTTTCCTCACTTGCCCACAGATTGGGCAGATTGCCTACATTATAGGGCCAGGCCCCGAGAAGTAGAACCAAGACAAAGCTCTTGTACAGGAAACCACATTGTACAGGAAAGTCTAGGGCACTACTTAGGAATCCAATGACCATTTTCCAGTTCAGATTCCAATTATTAAATGCTGCTTTTTGCAAAAAAAGTAGATTATATAACTCTTCTTCTTAGTAATGCGCTCTATAAAAAGGAATATATCCAGACAGAATGGGTTTAGTTTTGTTTTTTGTTTTTAGCAAGAATGTTGGACAACCAAAGGAAGAAAAAAGACAAAATCACCAGAAAAAAGAAATTTCCAGGGTTAGCAAAACAGACAACAGGCCTAGCAAACCAGACAACAGGCCGTTTGTCAAGCACATAAAAGTAGTGAGCAATTGAACGAGACTCCATTAAGTAAGTGTTGAGCATGTGCAGATATAAGGCCATTTTCTACTCTAGAAAATAGGCAACTATCCCTCTATAAAACATGTTAATAATGCCCATAGTACAACACATGTCTATAGGAACCCAGTGTGCTGTTTCTAAAAACTCCTACTCTCATCATTTCAGTGTATCATCATTAAATAATTTAGCAAAATGTATGTTAATTAAATGGGAGGATAAGAGCAAATTTGGTGTTTCTACAACAATCAAGTTGAATAAGGCATTGCTTTGGAATGGCTAAATAAAAGCCACAAGAAAAGAAGTGAAAAAAATTGCTATTAGATTTGTTATTAGAGAGTTAATGGTGAAAGACTAAAAATGATAAAAGTCCAGAAGGAGTTGGACTCTTCTGTAATAAATTTGAATGCAAACCTTTCTGGGTACTTTCAAAAATAAACGCTAGAAATATGGGATAGTACATTATGGACTTAGTACACAAAAGATAAAATAGAAAAAACAAGGAATAGACCATACTCAGAATAAGAGCTTGACTTCTTACTTCCCAGAAACTTACAAAATGGATATTTATGTTTTAAGGTTATAAAAGTCAAAATATAATTTAGATACTTCAATTTTTAAAAAACAAACCAAGGGCTGGGGATTTAGCTCAGTGGCACCGCACTTGCCTTGCAAGCACAGGTCCTGAGTTTGATCCCTGGTACCAGTACCAAAAAAAAAA